CTGCAAATGAAGCAGATTCTTCTTACAGAAGACTGCACACTACTACCAGAAGACGAAATACTGTTGGTAGAAGACTAGATATTGCCGCAAAAGACTAGATATTGCTGGCAAAAGACTAAGTATTGCTAGTGAAAAACTAGATATTGCAAATGAAGCACATCCTTCTTACAGAAGACTATACACTACTACTAAAAATCAAATACTTTTAGCAGAAGACTTAATTTTACTGTCAGAACACCAAAATATGTTGTCAGAAGTTACTATTACTAATGGTACAAATCCCGTTTAAATTTCTGTCCAATACTTGTTAAAATTGCATCTTTTGCTTCCCGATTTCTATGTTCATTAGATGTGATATTCCAAAGAATTGAATTTTCTTCATACACTTCAATTAATTCAAATATTTCTTCTTGGTACTATTTTCTTTTAGGTGTTATCTTTATACGTGTTATATTGAAAAAACTAGCAGCTACTCGCAGCAAAATTCGAACCGTGTTCGGTTTTTGACAGTTACTCTCACGATAGATAAATTGTGCGCGTCCACTTGAGTACAAATCTCAACGTGTTTACTCTCCGAAAGTTTGTGGGGACTCTCTGATAGTTACTCTCAGATGCGTGTACCAGAAAATATACTCTCGATAACTTCTCTCGAGAGCATTTCTCGCAAGTGGACACTTAGCTTAATGGTACAAGACCAACTTTTTGTCATATTCGTGCAAAACCATACAGCAATTAGGTAGTAATTACTGTCCGAACCCGCCTACTATAATCAAAATTTTGAACATTAGCGCTTACTATTTTGGAATTGAAAATTAACGCTTATTTTCCGCAAATGCACCATACATGCGATACATCATTGGAAAGCTAAAAATATGCTCTTTTCATTAACATCATAATCAAGTATAGTTTGTATTTAAAAAAATACAACTTTGTGTTGTATCTCAAAAATCATCAAATATTTTTAAAATTTTTCAACGGCAGTATATTCTACTTAAAAAAGTGTCTTAAGAACGTATCAACCTCATTTCTCTAATTTCAAAAATAAACGAAATATGAGCATTTTTTGAAATCACGAAAATTTGACTTTTTGGCTATAACTTAAAAACAAAAGAAGATAGAGGTTTGGTGTTTGCGGGATTGGGTTAGTCTCGAAAAAAGAAATCGGGACATGGCACCTACTTTTTTCGTATCTCTTATAGTTTCTGAGATAGCCTATAATAACACCCAAATTTGCCCACCCTGTACATCACAATCAACTTGGTTAATAACTCCATCAATTCTTTTACGGTTTAACAGTAGTCTTAAAAATTTAAAATTGTTTTTAATAAATATACACTAAAATTGATCAATGTTTTATTAACATCAATAAATCAATCAAAAAAAAAGTTTGTATCTCAATAATAAATCGGATCTTTCTTATTTGAAATTATATCACTTTCAAGTAGTTTCTTCGCAGATAAAATACCTAGAACTGGAATTATGTTGTTTTAATCAATTGATAAAATAATAATATCGCTGCTACGTGTAAAAAATACATTTATTATTTTCATAAAAAAGATAATTAATTTGTAGATAAGAAACAATAGATTAACACGTAGTAATTATTAGTAGTAAACAATATAAAATAATTTCGTCTAACATTAGGTAACATATTAATTTCACGGGAAATACAAACTCATTAAACTAATGTTGACGCGATGATTATCTAAATAGGTGTTTAAATTGAAAAACACGTTTAACGACGACGTAAATATAAAATGCTTAAGTTTGATAATAATAACTAGAGGGAAAATGAAAATAAATAAAATCAAAGTTAGATTCGGTAATCGAAATCGTAAATTCCCGGTTTTTAGCAATATTTTCGTCGACGCGCTTTGCCTACGTGACTAGAAGCATGCTGCTCGCGAATCGCCCGAAAGAGATAGCCTTATACGTTACTCGGTTCGTATCGGAAAAGGTTGGAGATAAAACAAATGTATTTACAAAACCAACGCCTCGTAAACGTACCAGTAACCTGCATGTTTTTTTACTATCTATTATTAGAATAGAATAGAAGACACAAAAATATTTCATGGAAAATCATCTAAACTTTATGCAACAATAATCGGTCATTTTACGACCTTTCACAAAACTGTTTAATTATAATTCACAACCACTATTTAACACTTAAAAATGCACATTTTCCACTATATATAAATCCACTCAATTATCGTGAAATTAAAGAAAAATTTATTCAAACCAAGTTGTTAAATCGAAATTGTGTAAACAGAACGCACGTTGTAACTTCAATGATTCATTTTCAAGCCACTATTTAAATTTTATTAGAACATTGATATTCGTGTCACGTACAAATGAGAGGGTATGCCCCTAACTTTTAAAATGGAAAAACGTAAATAGAAACTTGTAAAAGAAAAACAAAACGTTTTAAAAATAAAAGTAATGTCCACTTATGTTTCAAGAGGAAACGTAATATAAGAAAGTAAATATTTCTAGGTATTTATTGTGGAATTTATTGAGATAGTATTGTATAAAATTATTCATCTTTCAAAATAGATTTATATCTAATCTTTTTTTAAAGTAAGATATAAAAAATGGCTATCTTATGAATTAACGGAAGTTGAAGATTACGTTGTAAAGCAATTATTTTATAAAATAATACGAGATAAACGTGAAGAAATTATTAGATGAATGTTATAAAACATACACAGTTGAAATGTTTAACCTTTTGAATGTATGGCATGGGTTGGGCGTCAAACACTTGGAAACTTTCAAAATTTGACCTTAATTTCTCTCTGTTCGCTATGACCAAGTAAAAAAATCTGCGAAGAATCCCAATTCTTTCTAGAAAGAATAATGTAGAAACACATAAAAAAATTTTAAATTGAAACGTTGGTTTAAGGTTAATTTATTACTTTTTGAATCATTGCAACATCAACTTAATTTAAGTTAGTTTCAAAGTTTTCTTAGAAGCTGTTCTATTCTTCTGTTTACTAATTAATAATAATTAAAATTATATTTTTAAAACTTTCTATTTTAAAATTTAACTTAAAAAAAAATCTCTGTAAACTTCTGCAAGGAGTAATGATTGAGTCTTCACCATGAAAGAGGTAATCTTTTGCAAGCATTATATTGAATTCTTCAAGTAGTATTTAATCTTCAAATTGCACTATCTAGTCTTCTGCAAATCGTATCCACTCATCTGCCAGCAGTATCTAGTCTTCTCCAGTAGTACCTAGTCTTTTCCACTAATATTTAGTCTTTTCCAACATTATCTAGTCTTTTCCAGCAGTCTTCTATTCTATCTAGTCTTCTATTAATTAAGTCTAGACCTCCAAAAGCAGTGTCTAGCCCATTATCTAGTCATTTACCAGAAGTATCTAGTCTTCCATAAACAGTATCTAATCTTCTGTCAGCAATATAAGATGACGAAATATAAGCGAAATACTTAAATAACTTATTGCAACCCAAAGTTCCCTACATTTTATATGACAAAATCCTGATTTAAGAACTTGACAACAATACTAGCCAAGTGTGTTTGTAAAGATCTTATTTGTGTGGTACAACATGTAACATCTCTCCAGTATAAACTATGTACAGGGTTTTCCAATAAGAGGTGTTATTTTGATATTCAAAGAAAAATGCCATTTTTTAGTATAAATGATCGGATGTTTATTTCATTATAAAGAAGAAGGTATGCCGTTAATAGTGGAAAATAACATTAGGCAAATGACCACCACGACCACGCTTACAGGACAATATCCTTTCCATGAAATTTTCCATAACCAAATTGCAAAGTGGCTGCCCTATGTCCTCAATAGCCTCACGAATTCCATCTTTGAGGTCTTGAATCGACGCTGGGCTGTTGGCGTACACCTTCTCTTTCACGTGGCCCCAAAGGAAGAAGTCGCAAGGTGTTAAATCACAAGATCTCGGTGGCCAATTGTGATCACCTCTTCGAGAGATAACACGGTCCGGAAACTTTTCCCGTAAAAGATCAATGGTTTCGTTGCTTGTGTGGCACGTAGCACCGTCTTGTTGAAAGTAAACGTTGTCCACATCAATACCATCCAATTCCGGCCATAAAAAATCATTAATCATCTCTCGATAGCGCAATCCATTCACCGTAACTGTTGCTCCAGCCTCATTTTCGAAAAAGTAAGGTCCAATGACTCCGCCGGACCATAAACCGCACCAAACAGTCACACGTTGAGAATAGAGAGGCTTTTCAACAATAACTCTTGGGTTTTCAGAGCCCCAGATGCGACAATTTTGCTTGTTGACGAAGCCACCGAGGTGGAAATGGGCTTCATCACTCAAGATGATTTTTCGATGGAATTCCGGATCATTTTCATGCATTTGTCCCAATCAGCAAAGACACGACGTTGTTGATGATCGGACGGCTTGAGTTCTTGTGTTAACTGAAGTTTATAAGCCTTAAGACCCAAATCTTTATGCAAAATACGGAGTAATGACGTTTGTGGAATGCCTAATTCCAAAGAACGACGAGGAATGGACAAACCTGGGTTCACCATTTTTATAGTGAATTTTAATAATTTCAATGCGTTGTTGAAGCGTGTATCGTTCCATTTTTATTAATGGCGTACTTTCTACTTGTCAAATGTCAAAAAATGACAGCTTCAAAAGTGACATCTATCGAAATAACGGGCTATTCAAAATAACACCTCTTATTGGAAAACCCTTTATATTAAATATTATTGGATCATCTGTTTTGAGTGCCTCATTTAGTAATCGTACAGATTACATATTAAAATATGGCTAATTTGAAATGAAAGTGAAATATGAATATGGTTAAGCTAAAAATGTGACGACACTTGCAGCAGCAGTCAGTGTCAATGGATTCTAATGTGGATCACTAGAAATGCCGGAAAGAAAGAACAACATCTAAAGCACTAAGAGAAGAGGAAATTCATTCAAGTTGACATTCCAAATTTTAACCCTAATCTAATAGAGAAATTTTAATAATAATAACAAAAACATAATCAATTCATTAAATAATATAAATCAGCAATCAATATTGATAACCAATTTGTACTTAAAATGTAGTGATAGTATGAATCTATAGAAAAATAATTAAGGGGAGTATGAATGAAACAAATATTTCTCACCTTTGTCCTACCATTAATATTATACTGTCCCATTTTGCCATTATTCTCCATTTTATTTGCTCTTATTATAACGGCATCTACTTGACTTATAAGACTTCCAATATAATTACAAAACGATTCTTTGCCATCCACCCAAGCTATTTTATCCCCTCGTATCGTTTTCAAATCCGTTCTGCCCCTATTCGATACCAACTGTCCATCTTTGAACACACCACTCGAGTACATGTTTAGCACTTCTTTTAAAACTAATCTTCCTTTTTCCTCACCAAGAAAATTATCAACCACACAGACACCGTAATCATTCATATCTCTTAATACGTTGAGACTCATCAAGTCAATGTCTGTATCCGGCCCGCGGGATTTATTTAACGTAGTACAATGAAAAGAAGGATCGAAACGAAGGTTTTCCTTGCTGGCGGGCATGTTTTCGTCGTTGACTTTCGATTTGTATAGGTTCGGTGATAAACTTTGGGCACAGGAACTTAATATTTCGTCCTCGGAGCTTCCTACAACCGGCAACGTTCCGTTTGTCTCCTTTTCAACGTTTAAAGTTTGAACGTTTTGATCGTCGGCTGTGTTACAAGTTGGTTTGTGTCGTTTCCAATCTTGCTTTTGATGCGTTCTCGAACAATAAAATGTCTTTTTGCAGCGGGCGCACCGAAGCAAATTCTCCTGCGATCCACACACTACGCAAGTTGAATTCATTTTAAAATCGCAGAACACTGGGCCATCTACGACGTGCCACTGACATTGCTGCTGCCATTTTTCACCTTGGTTCTAATTATTTTATGATCGGTAGGTGGAGCCATATGGTTATCAGCTGTTTATCAAAAGACTTTATTTCGCATTTTTTGTACGTGCCGTCATCCTCACGTACGTTTTAAACCTTAAATATCAATTTTTATTTTAATTTTATATTTATTTGTTATTTACACACAACATTTTTAATGATAATCGCGCATTCTATAAGATAAATAATTGTTTTTTGCTTTATCTGCGTCTGACTTCATTTCCATTATTATTATTTTATTCAACTTTTTAACCGGTTTTTCGTTGTGATGATAAAAATCTTATTGTTATTTTTACAACAAATAGTTGTATAAATAATATAGAAATTGATGTTAATTGAAGAAGAAATTTTTGCCAAAAAGGATGGATATTTAACACCAAGTAAGATGTAATTCATGTATTATTGCAAATAAATTGTAAATATCCATTGTTATAAAAAATAAAGTACTTTTTTTTGCGAACTTGATGTCTTTAACATGTCAACTTTTGACGTTTAATCTAACCTTACAATTCTTATTTTTCGCATTTTTAAATTGCAAACATCAAATTTATTCTAATTTATAAGTTTTATCATTTTACATTATTTAAATGACGTACTTACAACATTTAAAATATCATAAATTTCAGAAAAATAAAAGAAACGTAGAATGTACATTTAGCTTGTATCCGTATCTAACTTCATTTCTATTATTACTTTTTTCATAAACTTGGAAGTTGTAAATTACGCATTATAAAAAAATCATCGCATTAATTTAATCAACTCTAATTATTCACATGATATCGTGAGCATATGAGTAATTTTACATTTTAGAATAACACTAACTAACGTGTTTAACATATAACGGAGCTAACTTCATTCATTTCATTGAAAAAAAATTGTGACGTTTAATTCTAACCTAACTTTTCTAATTTTTGAATAATAATTTATTTTAAGCTTAAAATGGGAGATGAAACGATATTTGAATTCTTACACGCGGAAATAATAAATTATACAATGAATCAGAATGAAATAAAGAAAAGTGATTGTAAGGTAAGTAGTGAAAGCATTTCTATGCTGATTAATACGCCTGTTTATTTACATTTTATCCAAGGATGAAGAATTATCGGATTTAGAATACATAGGCTTTACTACTGGGTTTAAAATGATTGAAAGGTGTTTTAATGAAACGTTATTAATTAAATTCAAATACCCATTAATCTTATTTTTAAATTAATTTTTAGACTTACGAAAGAAATGCCAAGATTTAAAGATGAACTTGATACAATGAAATTTATCTGTACCGACTTTTGGACGGCAATTTACAAGAAACAAATCGATAATTTACGCACTAATCATCAAGGAGTGTACGTTTTACAAGACAATTCTTTTAGATTTTTAACAAAAATCTCCGATGGAAGACAATACCTTGATGTAGCACCAAAATATGTTGGGTTTACTTGTGGTGTTATTAGAGGAAGTTTAGCCAATTTGGGGATTAATTCGATAGTTACTGCTGAAATACAAAATATGCCACTTTGTAAATTTCATATACAGGTTCAAAGAAATTAATAAACTAAAAATAGTATTATTTATTATTTACAAAAAGATTTAAATACGCATTCCTCTGTTTAAATTTGTTATAAAAATTATTTAGTGTATTTAAATACAATAAATAAATAAAATGTGATTAAACGGCACAATCTTCAACTATATTTTCAAACGGTGTATAGCATTTAAATTGAAAACCCGAGTCGCAAAATGAACCCTAAAAAAAAAAATAAAAGTAGAAAATTGTTAAAACAAAAAAAAAATACTTATACTCACAGGACTTGTAACTAAACAGCCTTTATATTCTCCAGTATAACTTTCTGATTTATCACCAATAACAACTAAATCTGGAAGGGGGTATAATCTCAGTGTATAGTCATAGTCCCAATGAACAGTTAAAGCATTCAACGATAAAGGACTTAAATGACCTTGACTAACAACTGTTCGACTCACACAAAGACCTATTTCGTCTTTTTCAGGCTTACGTAAACTGCCTTGCATTAATTTTGGTAAAATATCCATTCTTAATATGGTTATTTCTCTTGAACAGTATTGTAATCGGCAAGGATTTGTTGGAAAAACTGCTTTTGGCACATTTTTTGAAAGTTCTTCAGTTACAAATTTTGGTAAAGGTAACCTATAAAGATGTTTAATAAAAAGATTAAAATTTACATTAATGAAATAATCTAAAATTATTTCAAGCGAGATGGAGGCGGAGTGGAGAAAAAAAAGGGATGGTGAAGAGGGAGATCAGGCTGGGAAGGGAAAAGGTGCAAATAGTCACGGTGTACAGCAGATCTATGAAGGAGACAAAGAATCAATGGGAAGGGATGGTGGGAGAAGGGAAGGAGGGGTATATAATAATGGGAGGAGACTTCAACGCGAGAGTGGGGGAAGGGGGAGGAAGGCTGGGGACATGGGGAGAGGAGAGGGGTCGAGGGTCGAAGGATAAGGTGCAGAATGGGGAAGGAAGAGAATTGCTGCAGTGGGTGGAGAAGAACGGATGGGAGATACTGAACGGCAATAAGGAGGAGGGAGAAGAAGGGGAGTACACATATACAGGGGCAAGGGGGGCGTCGGTAATTGATTACGTGGTGGTGGACCAAGAGATGTGGGATAGGGTGGAAAGCTTCAGGGTGGGAGAATCAGTAGAATCGGATCACCAACCGCTGGAATTGGTACTAAGGGGCGCGTGGGGGAGAGGGAGTTTGAATCGGGAAAGAAAAAGTATAAGGGCTGACTGGTCGGAAAGAGGGATAGAACACTTTAGGGAAAAGTTGGAAGGGTGGCGACGGAGAGTGGAGATGTCTAGGGGGGTGGACGAGCTGGCGCGGGTGGTGGGGGAAGCGATATCGAAGAAAGAGTACGTACGAGGGGGCAGTGCAAAGCTAGGCAGGAACGAATGGTGGGATGGTGAGTGCATGGGGGCGAAGAGAGAGGCGAGAAGGAAGTTGAGACAGTGGCGGAGAGGGTTGGCGGGGGTGGAAGAATATAGGGAAGCATTGAGGGGATATAAAGAGATATGCAAAAGAAAAAAGAAAGAATTGAGGGAGAGGGAGGCGGAAGAGATTAGAAGGGTGAGACAAGAGGGTGAAGTTTGGAAATATATAAACAAAATAAGGAAGGTACGAGAGGAAATTACCAGTGAAATACAANCAATTTCAATGCCCTTTCTTTAAGTGTCAGTAAATGTACTTATATATCATTTACAAAGAAGTTAAATAAAATCGACACAGTTTATATTGCGGCTTCCATACCTCTAACAAGGGTCTCTACGGTGAAGGATCTGGGAGTGCTGTTTGACTCAGAACTTTCTTTCTTGCCCTATATTGAGGAGATGTGCTCTCAGGCTTGGAGAACTTTGGGTTTCATACTGAGGATCATGGGTCGATTTGCTGATTTTGGTACCCTGAAAACGCTATTTATGGCTCTGGTGATCTCTCGCCTCCAGTATGCCTCTGTAATATGGTACCCTATTTACACGTCACAACAACTAATGGTTGAGAAAGTCCAGCGTCGATTTCTCAAATTTTTGTCATATCGTATGGATGGTCAATATCCGCCTAAAGGAGTGAACTACTTAGATCTACTGCATCGCCACAAGCTTCCTTCTCTGCAGGATAGAAGAATGGTCCAAAGTGCCTCGTTCTTGCAAAAGTTGATGTGTGGTGAGATCGACTGTGCGTGGTTGTTGTCGCGAGTGAATATAGTGGTGCCGCGCATAAATTCTCGGTCCCATTTGTATTTTTATCCACCTTTATGCAGAACAAATGTCAAAAAAAGGGCGCCGATAACACATATGATCACGAACATGAACGATAGTTGTAGGCTAGAATAAACATTGCATTTTCTGTCTCTTTTCTTGCCTCTTTTATTTGATTGTATTATTATTTAGGTATGTATTATATGCATTTTAATTTCACTTGTAATTATATTGATGTACAATTTGTAATAATTTGTATATTTTTTGTATTTTGCCCTTAATATGGTGCGCTGTTGGGCAATAAAGTTTATTATTATTATTAATGAAATAATCTAAAATTTACCGCGGTAAAATATGAGGAGTACAAGGATCTGATAAACCTGGTACGAAAACAAATTCACTTCCATTAATAAGAGTGCTGAAGTTTCTTATTAATTCACCCAGTTGTTTAAAAAGTTTTTTCAATGTTTCTAAATATTCCGATCCATGTGATTCCGACATATAATTCCCCATAAATACAAAAGCTATGGGTGGAGTTGCTACCAGACCATTAAAAATTGTTTCCAATTTTTCAAATACCTAGATAAAAATTCCTTAAAATGAAAAAGTATTGTAATGGTATATATATATTTTACCATAGGATGATCTAACCACAGATCAGAAAAGAAAAATATCACCCTCGATGAGTTTCTCATCATGTGTTCTTTCAATCGTTGGGATTCTCTTAAAGGTATGGTGGAATGTCCACCAAAATAATTTAAATTTCCAAAGGTAGGTCTGAAAGTACATTTACATAAACATTTTAATACTTGTTGTTGCTGAGTGTCTCTTAAGACGGCTAAACCCAAATGTTTTCAACTTTTAATTCAATAAAATTGGTATACCTAGAATCCTCATATTCTTCACCAGGGGGTAAAAGAATAGATGAAACCTGTAGTACTTTGTCCTCATAAAATCCATTCGCCAAAACAAATGTATTTTCAACAAAGAAACCTTTTTGATACCTAAAATTATTCAATAAACATATTTTATTTTAAAAAAGCGCCCTTTCTAAAAAGAACTTACTTTGCATGCTTTAAATCTAATTCAACAATTCCAGTTGGATCTTCTAAATAGTACTTTCCCTCAGAAACTTGTGATAAAGACCCCAATATTAAAGTTTTATCTAAAGTCTTATGGGATAAAGTTAATAAATAATCAACAGTTTGTAAATTAAAATTTTCTGTGTTAACTTTAAAGTTACGTTGAACCCTTTGTAAAATAGAATTGTATCTATCTATAAACAGTTGTGCTTTAGAATTTGCATCAGATAATAATGATGATTTCTTTTTATTTAAGCAATATAACTTTCTATCAGGGTTATAAATTAATTTTGGAAACTTAAATGCACTGATTATGTTAAATACAGTTTCATGTTTATCATATCCGGCGTATAAACAACCCTAAAATAAATTAATTATAATAGAATGTAAAATTATAAGCGCATATTTATTTCTTACTTCAATTGCATGTTGAATATCTTCTTTTTCTATACTTTTATTATTAACACATTGCTTTTCCAAACGGTTGCATAACTGCCTAATGTAACTATCAAAAGATTCATTATCACTTAAATCAATTCCTTCGCCTTTTAAGCTTTCGTTAATCAAATTACAAAATTCCCTTTAAAAAAAAATAGGTTAGATTCATAAATTCTTAATAACACCTACATCGTTTACCTTCTCACTAGCAACCCGTTTAATTTAAACGAATTTTGAAGTTTTTTAATTATTTTATCATCACTCATCTTTAATAACTAAATAACTAACAGTTAAAAAAATTCCGCATCAAAATTCTAACCTAACAACTTTATTTCCCGCTTTTTATTGTTTAAATATGACAGAATAACATGAAGTTAGTAATAAACACTAAAACTGTCAATTTATACGCATTAAAACAGTAATCTGTAAGTATGCATTGAAAGATTTCAATTTTGAAATCGACGAATAGGTTGACGGGATCCAAGAAAAGAGTTTTTGGACATTGAAATTATTATTATTTTATTTAATTAATTGTAATAATTATTTGTTTTAAGGGTACTTACGTGTTTAGCGTCTCTCCAGACGGCTAAACACGAAACTTTCTAGTTCTAGGTCTAGTATTAGTTCTACGTAGTAACAGTGTTAATGTAAAACTAGAACTAACACTATACCTAGAACTAGAATCATTCGGGTTTAGCCGTCTTTAGAGACGTGCGGCTAAACCCAAATGATTCTAGTTCTAGGTATAGTGTTAGTTATAGTTTTACACTTCTATTATCACTAGAACTAACATTAGACCTAGAACTAGAAACATTTGGGTTTAGCCGTACGTCTCTTAAGAAGGCTAAACCCGAATGATTTTGGTTCTTGGTCTACCGCTGCATAACAATTAAAACTAGATCTAACAGTAGACCTAGAACTAGAACGTTTTTTTTAGACGCACGGCTAAACCCGAATGTTTCTAGATCTAGATCTAGTGTTAGTTCTAGTTTTAGTTCAATAAAAATACGTAACATAGTGATATCTTATGCTAATTAGCTACCTACCAGCCGTCTTAAAAGAGGTACTGCTAAACACGAAACTTTCTAGTTGTAGTGATAGTTCTAGTTTTAGTTCGATAAAAATATACAACAACCGGATGGTGAATAACAACTGAAACTATTAAATAGAACTAATACTAGATAGAAAATTATTAAATTAAACTCAAAATTGACAAGTATTATAATAGTATATTAAAAAACAAGTTTCGTAAGACACGCTTGAAATGCACGAATTCAAGTTGAAAAACGAGTGGCATTCAAGTCTTATGAAACGTGTTTTTTATGCTATTTTTTGTAATTCGCGTTTTTATCCTTTTTTTTAACAAAAATAAAATAAATTTTGACCATGTAGGGAAATAGGTATGCAGCAGTTGGTAACACCGTAACACTTGAAAATAGAAATTTGAATTGACAATTAGAAACTGTCAAAACACAAAATGTATTCACCTGAAAAAAATGTTTCATGTACACCTCCCAAAATAAGAGAAATTACTCAGTGTTCGATGTCCTCATCATTGTGGACCTTGTATTCGATGCTAAGAACGTGTTTAAACATCCATAGACAAAAATTGTCACATTGACAACTAGAAAAATTAATGACCCAATGTCACCAACTTGAACTGCTTCCATAAAATGTTACTAAATTCTCATTACAGCATCGGATGCTGTAAGGAGTCTCATTAGAGCACTCGTTTGAGTACTGTTAGAGCTTTCGTTACCGTCACGAATTACAAAAAAGAAACAACAGTATGATATTTACATTTTTATTACAGTTATTTTTTAAATTCAATTTTGATATAACATAAACATTACTATGCCAAATAATTGCATTATTTTCCCTCCAATTCGAGTGTGATTTGATCCAAAGTCTTATTTTTAGTTTCCAAAAGGAAGAAAAGAACATAAATCAAACCCAATGTGTTTATGACGCAAAAGAAAAGAAAAACCGTTCCAGGACCGACCCAATCCACGCATGGTTTAAATAAAAACGTTACAACATAGGCTAAAAACCAATTGACCGCAGTAATTATCGGGCCAATAATTGATTTAACACCGGCAGGAAGATACTCGCCGATCATTGCCCATGGTAGCGGTCCGGAAGCTATATTAAAACCGGCTGTATAAATCAAAATGAAAATCACCGGCATGTGAATCAACGTTTCTCCTAATTGCGCGTCGGCGTTTCGTATAAAATAGTATACTCCCACGATAAGTAAACAAAGGATCATCACACTTAATGAGATGATCCATAAAGGTTTTCTTCCTAATTTGTCCACGATACTAGCGACGATTAAGCAAAACACTAATTGGACCACACCCAAACCGACGTTACAATGTTTTGCGTTTAATTCGAGTTCATCAAAAATTGAAGCCGCATAAAACATGATTGCATTAATTCCTCCAAGTTGTTGAACTACGTGAAGAACTAACAACATACAAAATCCTTTTATAGAAGATTTCTTTTTCATGTTTTCTATAAAGTTTCCTTTTCCTTCATTAACATAATCCTGTAATTGTTTATAATCATCAGAAATGTTGTAGTCTTTTCCACGGAAAAATTGCAAGGCATGTTTAGCTGCTTCTTCCTTTTCTCGTTTAATTAAAAAAGCTGGCGATGTCGGCATGAATAACATCACAACAAATAAAATTATGGGTGGTATAGCAGCTGGTATACAAAGCCAGGGAAAACTGCTAAAGTAAGCTAAAGCAAATTCCATAAAAATTCCTAAAACCAACATTAACTGGAAACAAATTCCCAAGGCGCCTCTTATAGCAGGTTCTGCAATTTCACCAATATATGTCGGTGCTATTACGCAAAAACTTCCACCGCAAAAGCCCAAAATAAACCTTCCGCCTAATAGTATGAAAAAATTTGACATAAAAGCCATTACAAACCAACAGGCTGCAAACGGAACCGATAGTATTATCATTAAGATTTTCGGACCTAGTTTATCATATAGTAAAGCAATGAATAGTTGGGCTACCATCGCTCCTAAACAAAGAATACTAGCCACGTGGGTGAATTCGGTTTGTGATAGGGTTCCTCCTTCAGAGGTTCGAAGAATAGGAGTATGATCTTCTGCGCTTACCAAAAGTGCTTCGGCAGGAGATGACCAACCTAATACAGTTCCCAATGAAAATCCACCCAATGTAGCTGGTTTTTATAAGTATCATAAAAAGAACAAAAAATAATCAACAACTTTTTAAAAGATAATTAATGATAAATACCTGTTAATGCGCCAATGATTTGAGTTGCCCGTTTTGGTTTATTATCTCCCATTGTAAAATAATCATAAATCAAATTATAGTGGTTTTAATTAATTGGATCGGTCGGTGAAAAAAGAAATTACCTATTTAAAATTCATTTGACATACTGACATAAAACAGTAATTATTTTTTACATTAATGACACTTCAAAGATTTGTCATAAAAATCGTGGAGTTTTTATTTATTTTAACAAAAAAATCCCATTATTATTTTGCGTAATGAATTTATTAGTTAATCAATACTTCTTCTTCCCTATCACTTTCAAAACTTTATAATTGGATAATAATGCATTCTACTATGTATTGAAATCGATCAAATAGTGTAATAAATGTGACGTGTTTTCTTTTATTTTACACTTATGTTAATTTAAATTGCCAAAATCCGGATTTAGCCGTCTTGAGAGACGTGCGGCTAAACTCGAATGTTTCTAGTTCGCGGTCTAGTGTTAGTTCTAGTTTTAATTGTTATTCACCGTTATGTTGTGGTATATTTTTATTGAACGAAAAGTAGAACTAACACTATTATCTGTGCAAAAAGTCAAGGCCCCTCACTTTAGAGATCGATATCTTCGCAACCGCTCCATAAAAAAAATTGCAACAAAATTTGTTGTAATCACTGAACATTTCTACGTAACTTATGTTAATCTGAAAATTTTCGGATCCACGGTTTTCTTGTTACCGCGAGTTAAATGAAAAATGTACCCGATTTTTTACGGAATTGGCAACTTTATCAACTTTGCGATTTTTTTCCTCGAAAACTATCGTACGAAAAAATTTTAATTTTGAACAGGTGGTAGTCTGATGTGTTCTCAATGAGTGGCATGTTTTATTTTTTCGATATTTCATACAGTTTCGCGGAAAATCGCGGTTTAGTAAGACGCCGTTATGTCGAAAACGGCTGGGTGGATTTCTTCGCGGATTTGACCAAAATATGTCAAATAATGTTGGTTGTCGGATTCCGTTATCAGTTTTTCAA